TAGGTCTAGGCAGAGAGGCAGCTGGATGCTGACAGGGCACAGACAGCCCTGGTACCAGACTGCTTGGCCATATGGCAGCAGGGAGAGGCTGAGAAACTGGTCCCGATCGGTGGTTCTTCACGCTGCACAGTCGTCACCACCACCGGGATGCACTTAAAAATATGGTACAGCGTGCTGGGGTGGGACCTATGGACTGGGATTTAAAACAGCTCCTCAGGCAAATGGTGTGTGCAGTCGAGAACGAGAACTTCCGGACAACTGGTGGTCAAATTTTAGTCAGAGAATGAACAGGAAAGAGAACTAAAGAGTTACTGGGTCAAAATAGTGGGGTAAAAGCCAGGGGGGAGTGGCTGGGTGGAGGGGGCAAGCAGGGGGAAATGGGGGACAGCTATAATACGGTCAACAATAAAAAAGTTATCTATTAAAAAAATTACTGGGTCAAGATTTGGGAGCAGACAGGAATGAGGGGAAGGGCAGCATATTCTATTATTATAAAAACATAAAATCGTTATGAATTTAAAAACTTGAGCAGTTAGTGGAAATAGTGATATTTTTCTATTTATACGTTTATATAGAAAATTTGAATATTCACTTGAACAAACCTGAAGGTTTAGTTGAGATAGAGAAATTCTTGGAAAAAAACACAATTTACTAAAATAAAAAAATGAGAATTAGACAATCTTAGTCCCCAAACCACCAAAGCAATGGGGTCCACAGATAAAACTGGGACCAGATGGCTTCATCAGCAAAGTCTACCCAGCAATGAACAAGGACGAGAGCCAACTCTGCACAGACTGTTCTCAGAGCGAGAAAAGGGAGACTATTCACCACCCGGTTCCCGGTGTGATGCCAACTTGGTCGTAAACCAATACCTAAGGCGCTTAGTAATGGCGGGTGTGGTGAAGGTCTGGGGTGGGCGGGGTCAATGGGGAAAGGGGGACATATGTAATAATCCTATCTAATAAAAGACAAAAATCGTAATTGACCGTACCTTCGCTACGCTTCCCATTGACTAATCAGGGCGATATGCAAATTAACCACCAACAAAGATGGTGGCTAATTTGCATACTGCAGGCAGGGCTGGACAGCGCCAACCACCAGTGTGCCACCATCCAGTGCAGGCCAGCCGCCGGGAAGGCACACCCCCGTGGCAGCACTAAGAATGTCCAACTAACAGTTTAGGCCTGATCCCTTGGGGGCCTAAGCCTTTAGTCGGACATCCCCCAAGGGCTCCCTGGCTGCCAGAAGGATGTCTGACTGCAAGCTTAGGCCTGATCCCCTGGGAGTGAGCCTAAGTCGACAGGTGGACATCCCCCAAGGGGTCCTAGACTGTGAATGGGCACAGGCCGGGCTGAGAGACCCCCCCCCCCAGTGCACAAATTTTGTGCACCGGGCCTCTGGTTTCGATAATAAAGACTGAAAAAAGATCAGTAATGCCAGGAAAGTAAAGGAAAACTACAGGCCAACATCCCTGATCAGCAGAGGCAAAAATCCTAAATAAAATATCAGTAAAAAGTCAAACCAAGTTCTGTTTATTTCACAAACTCAGGTTTTATTTAACATTTGAAAATCAGTCAATGCCTGTTCAGAATAAAGGGGGGAAATCATATGATTGTCTCCATAGATGAAGAAAAACGCTGGGGGAAAAGTCCAACATTGACCTATGATAAAAACAACAACAAAAGGACTCCACCAATAAAGAACTAGAGGGAACAGCCCAATATGAGCCAGAATGTCTACAGGAGCTGCCACAAACAGCAGCCTTAACGGTCAAACGCTGGAACTTCCCATTGGAGATTGGCAGCAAGACCAGCATAGCTGCTATCATTAATTCCATCCAACACTGTACTTGAGGTTCTAGCCAGAGGAGTAAGATAAGAAAACATAAATAAAAGATGTAAGTGTTGAAAATAAATAAATAAAATAGCCAATTTCTACATGTAAACCTAAGGAAATATGTGCAATACCTCTATCAGAAATAAAATATTTTTTTGTGAAGTCAAAGAAGACCTAAATAAGGGAAAATACTATTTAAGTGTTGGAAGATTATTTTGAAAATGAGAATTTCCCCCAAATTAACCTACAGATTTAACTCTAATCCCAAGACCTCCTTTCAGTGAAACGTGACAAGCAGATCTTAAATGTACATGGAACTCTCTTTTCTGTCCCCTAATTCTCTTTTCTCAGGTGGTCACTTATAGTGGGGTTATTATTGTCATGAGTACATTCATGCTTTGGTCCCTTTGTGCAGTGTCTTGTCGAGGTGGATTTTACCCCGTCTGACCAGGTGCTAGAGAGGGAGCCTCATAACCAGACACCTGGAGAGGAAACTCCATCCACGAATGGGTCAATAACACCCCAGACCCAACTACAGAGGCAGGAAGAAGGCGGCAGTGAGGGAGAGAGCGTGAGTCAGTGAAGGACCAAAAGAGGAGAGTGTGTTCATGTGGGATGTGTGTGTGTGTATGTGAGTGAGGCACAGTTAGACCCCGCAGGACCTTTGGGGCAGGCTAACCGGGCAGCCTAACTAGGCAGCCTCTGCTACCGTTGTAAACAGGACCGGGAGGCCGGCTCGTCCTCAGAGGCCTCCCTTTCGAAGGGGAGAGCTGCAGTAACTGGGAGCCCAGCCTCACCTCCACCCAGGGTGCCCTCATATAACACCTGGGACTCTACAGCTACCCTGCCAGGGACCTGCTACCTCGGCTGTGGTCTCATGGTCAACGAGTCTCCAGCCACCCTGGGCGCAGGCTCCTGTGAGTTCTGAAGCGTGCTCCCCTCTGACTGGCCCAACTCCTTAGCCCAGGGCACTGCAACCACACGAGCAGCAGACACGTGAGCAGTCCACTCCTGTCCAAGGAGCAGCAGCCCCGCAAGCAGCCCGCCCCAGGCCTAAGATCAGAAGCCTCACGCAGCCCGCCCCTTTCCATGGAGCAGCAGCTTCGCAGCCCACACCCTGCACCTGTCTGAGGAACAGCAGCTGTGCGAGCAACCTGCCCCTGTCCAGCGATCAGCAGCTGTGTGAGCAGACCACCCCCATACGAGGAACAGTAGCGCCGTGAGCAGCCCGCCCCCATTTGAGTAGCAGTAGCTGCCCAAGCAGCCCACCCCAGTCCGAGGAGCAGCCGCCACAGGAGCAGACCGCCCACATCTGAGGAGCGGCAGCCCTGCGCAGTCCGCACTGGTCCGAGGAGCAGCCGCCACAGGAGCAGACCGCCCACATCTGAGGAGCGGCAGCCCTGCGCAGTCCGCACTGGTCCGAGGAGCAGCAGCCACATGCAGCCTGCACCTGTCTGACAAGCAGCAGCTGGGTGAGTGGCCTGCTCCGGTCCAAGGAGCAGCAGCCACACGTGCAGACTGCCCACATCTGAGGAGCGGCAGCCCTGCGCAGCTCGCACTGGTCAAGGAGGAGGCAGGGGATCCATGATTCTCTCTCATCATGGATGTTTCTATCTCTCTCCCCTTCCTCTCTGAACCATTAACATATATTTAAAAACACAGATAGAAAAAAACAGGAATTGCAGGGAAGGACCAATGCCTTCCTCCTGGGAGCTGCTGGCGCCAGGAAAAGTGGGGCTGGAGAGGAGGTCTCTGTTTAAGGGAGCGCTGTCCCCGCTGCCCCTCTCACACTCATCTCTCGCTCACGCTGCAGCACGGCCTCTGAAGCCACTTCTGGTTGTCCATCTCCAGTTATAAACCTTCGGCTCACCGACCCAGATGCCCCTAAGGCTCCTGGACTGCTCTGG